CCCCAAAACCCCAAAACCCCAAAACCCCATATAACGCAAAATAAATTGATTCGATAATATAAAAATAAACATGGATAAATTTAATCAATTTGATGAGAACCTATCTGAAAAATTCTTGGACGAAAATGTATCAGTATCCAATATCAATGTATCTCGGACTCTTGAAGAAAATATGTCAAAGCCTTTGTTTAATAGCAGAATCATTTTGGGCAAAGAGGCAAAATCAAAATCATGTCCATTTAACAAGCTTAAGTTATGAAAGCCATCAAGAGTGCCTAAGTTATCGAATGACAACTTTCTCGCAGTCCCTTCCAAAATAATTGCTTCACATCAAAATTCTGAAGCATCTTCATCCAGGTCTAACCTTCAAAGCGACATCAAGGCTTTGCTAAACAAGGCCATAAGAATGAGAAGTTTATCAAACGATGTTGCACATAAGAAGAACACCCATACTACCTCCAACCTTAACAATAAATTCTCTTGCCAAGAAGGTGAGCATTGAATAACAGTGCATGACTGAGCGACCCCAAACTCATAAAATTCCTAATTCATCCTAATAGTTAACAGTAAATTTCTTCAGAATCCTTCTTGACACTAATCCACTTATTAATAAACTCAAAGAATCTAGTAGAAACTATGGGTCGATTACTTCCTTTTCGTAGCTGGAAAACTTCTGATAGTAAATTATATTATTTTTAGTCTGAAATGGTTTACATATTAGGAATATTATGGTTTATGGGAGCTATTTTTGGCCTAGAACAATGAAGAAGAACAAGGCTTGAAGTAGAGAAGATTTGGAAAGGGAAAAATCAGCCAGCCTTAGCCAATCATGGCTTTGATATAATTAAATATCGCCTCTAAGGGTGCATTAAGAAGTATTATTAACTGAATGGACTAAATTTTGATTTGGAGAAATAGGTTGCAATGTTTGAGCTTCTCTATTTTAATATTTGGGTCTTTAATGATTTATAAAGCTAGGGAATATCGTCTGTACTGTAATAGACAAACTAGCCTTCTTTTTGAGCTTTTGGAGGATTCATAAATTCTTCCCTGTTCATGAGTAAATTAAAGAGAAATTTTTGTTCTTTTCCTAAATTTTCATATTCCAATTCGAAAAATTAATAACTTGGTGACCTTCAAGTTGGAATAGTGTCGGTTATTATAGTTTCAGAAATCTAGAATAATATCGGTTACAACTTAAGAAACCACTCTTTTCTATTTCAAGACCCTAAGAATTGGACATATTAGACTTTGATAAATGCAATTTTGAGACTCCAATATTCCTTACTCTCTCATCTATATCAATTTTCCAAAATTTATTCCCATTTCACAAAATTTCCATTTAGAATATAAATCCCCAATAACTTCAAAATAACAAGAAAATTCTCTAAATAACCTATAACTCCCCACCTCGTCTTCACACCATCCTCAACAGCATAAGAGCTCCTCTACATTCAATTTCCTCCAAAACCCATCCCAAAAATGCACATTTTCTTACCCTCTCAACCTCAAATCCCCATAAACCTGCCAGGCAAAATCTCTCTCCCAAATCCCTTAAAACTTTATTTACAAATTCTTCGTTACACAAATAACAAAAAAATCGAAAAAAATCTCTGATAAAAATTTGAGTTATTATAATTCCCCAAACTTTTCGCCAAAATTTGGCCGTTTAAAAGACCTGGACTGGAGGCAAGAGAGAGCGGAAATTAAGTAGAAAATGTATTAATTTTGTAGGGGTAGAAGGGGAAGAATGGCCTTTAGGGATTTTTGTGAGAGGCTGGTTAAGGTGAGAGAAAGGTGGTTTAAGGAATTTTGGGAAGGAGGGAAGAGAGCTGATAACTTTTGGTATAGAGAAGTTGGAAATTTTTGAGTGGAGGCTGCTTAAAATTGAAGGAGAGGCTATATTCTGGTATCAATTCATAAATTTTATCATCACACCGCTTGAAATATTTAGTATTAGAATTTTAATATAAATTTATTGCATCAGATATTGTAATCTTCAAGAATTCTGATCATAAGAAAGCTTAATTCAGCATTTCAAGTAAAAATGATCCATTTTATACAAAACAAAATGAATATTTAGAAATAAATAATCTTAAACCTCAAAATTTTATCTAGGTTGTCCAAACACATAAACTAAATTGGAATAGGAAGCTCAAGATGGAGAATTAGAGCAGATGCATGTAATAGATCAACTCAAAGAAATAGCAAGTTCAACTACTCCTACATGTATTAATCAGAAATATTACCAGGTCAGTACAATTGGTGACCGTCAGAAAATTCTTAAAAGTTTCCGAACTGACGAGACCAATAATTGATTTACTGTAAAACCTTGTTTCAAGAATTTCTAATCTTTCTAAACTATAAATTATCTAGAGAAGGTTACTTTAGAGGTAAGATAAATTTAAATCCTTGTTGTATGACCTCAGAACTTTCTAAAAGGATCAATCAAAGGATCTAAACAGACTTCTAAATGAAACTCCGATTATTTTCATTCTGATCATCCTGACAAAACTGTACAAATAAGGGATTTTAAATTATATTAGTAGTCAACTGTATCTTTGTCTCTAGGGGTTTTGGGGTTTTGGGGTTTTGGGG